CCTCTCCGGCCGGTCAGGTCCGCAGAGCCGGCTACCGGCCGGGGTCGATTCGCGTGCGCGCGCGCGCGCGCAGCCAGGGATGTTTGGCTGCGTATTTGCATGAGCTTCCCACCTACCTGAGCCCAGCCCTCCAGGCTGCTCTTCTCTCCCACCCCTGTCTGGCGTGACCCCAGCCTTAGCCTCTTTCTAAGGGACTTCCTCAGCACATTTGTATTTTTATATCCGACTCTTTGTTTACTGGCTCCCCTCATGGTTCATGCCCTCCCTCCCCCAGTCTCGGCCACGCTCTTCTGCGCCTGGCAGATAGGATGGGTGTTGAGTCTGAGATGGAACAAGCCCTAACATGGTAACCAACCACATGGCCAGTCTGCCCAGGCCTGACCCCAGGCGGCTCTCTGGCAGACCCCTCCTCTCAAGGTATCACCTTCCAAGGGCCCAAGTCTGATTTTACCTTGGACCCCTGCATCCTGCCCCTGGGAACCCAAGTGAGGACTGCTCTGCACCTTTGGATGACACCTGTGGCCCTGGAGATGTTTTCACCCCAGGGGTGTCCTTTGTAAATGTTTCTCCATCCTCACTGTACCAGGAGTGTGTGAATAAACACAGACCTCCCTGTGTGTGTGTGGCCACTGCTTTGGTCTGCTCAGGAGCCAGGCCAAAATGGCTCCAATCCCTTTTGGGGAGGGGGCAGATAACTTGGGAATCTCAGGTGCATGTTGCTGGTAGGGGAGGGTTGCCAAGTAAACACAGGCAGGCCAATCTGGCTTGAGGACATCTTACAATGTAGCTTCCTTTGGTAAATATACAACCTAAGCAGGATAGGACACTAGAGCTTGGGCTGGAGCTGGGATCAGAAGCATAAAGCAATCTTGATTCAAAGTCTGCAGCCTCCTGTAGATAAATCCAGGTTGAATGGGGGTCAATAATAGGCCCCAGGGATGCAGGTCTCTGAGTCTGGCTGGCATGTGGAGCAGTTATGCTGAGCTTTGCCCCAGGGGATGAATCGTTGGTAGTTCAGTAGGGTAGGGGAGGAAGTTAGGGAATCCAGGAGAGATCTGAGGAACCCAAGAAGGAAACCAGAAACCTTGGATTTGGGATCTAGTTTAACATGGGCTGTATTGTTTCATGTGGGGTTGCTCCCATCAGCTCTATCTTAGGCATGGGGCCTCTGGGATTGTGAGCACCTTGAATCCAACCCTAAGCCCTAAATCAGGAATTCCAAATACTTGAAGAGCCCAGGGGAGAAAGGCAGGGAGGACTGGAGGACATGCCTCTGGCCTCACAGGTGAATGGCACTGAGGAAGTCCTCGTGATCCGAGTCCTGGAGGAAGCAGGGTGAGGTGGGAGGTCTAGCGGGTGAGAGGATCTCAGTCCCAAGGGCAAGTTGGGCTACAGTGAGTTCTTTACCCTTCTGCATGAGGTAAAGATGGAAGTGGAAGCCACTGCCATAGGTTGCATGCTTCAGGGACCAGCCATATTGGGCTTGGGCATAGTGTCTGATCCGAAAGTGGGGCGCAGCTGAGGTCAATGAGATGAACCGGCCTCCAGGGACCAACACCCGGCTCACCTGCAAGGCAGACAGAGAAGCCACGGGTGAGGAGTCCATCTCCAGGTTCTCAAAGGTTAGTATTGCCCCAGATGCCTTCCTAGGTACTACCCTATGTTCCATAGCTCAGGGCTCTCCATGGCAAGAGTGAGCCTTCTTCTCTGCCCCTACTCACTTCATGGGGGTAGGGCTATATTCTACCCAGGTAAGAGCATGGGAGTGATGTCAGGTGCATGGGCACTGCTTTCCTGTCACCCTCCTAGTCTGTGTTACCCATCTGGAACCTGGCTGTTACCTCATCCCTATTGGCAGCTTAATAGCTAACCATCAGCATCTGTGAGCCTGGCCACTCCAGGCCCCTATAATCTTTACCCAGCTTAACCTTCCCTTCCTTCTGGTAACCATGGTCCTAAAAGTGAGCCATTACCAATTCCAAACTATATCTCCTTCTGACTTCTGAGTTGTTTCAACCTCCCAAAACCCCAGTCCCTCTTCCCCACCTCTTGGTCTACCCTTTCTTGTTGCTCCCTCACCTCACTCAGCACCTGGTCCACAGTGTGGACACCTTCAGAAGACACAGTCCAGGGATCTCGTTCTCCAGCTAACAGGGCATCCAGTGTGCCCTTCTCAAGCACCACATCGAAGGAGCCACTGGGGAAGTCCAAGGCCCGCACATCCATGGTCTCCCAGCGCAGGTTGGGCACATGGGCATAGCGAGCCCGCATAGCAGCCACCACCACTGATGAGTAGTCCACACTGGTCACATCAGGGAAGCCTCCAAGAAACAGCTCATAGCTCAGGGCACTGTTCCCACAGCCTAGGATAGGAAGGGATGGAATGGGTGGCAAAAGGGCTAGGTTAGATTTGGTTCTCACTCCTGAAATTACCCATCTACTCTTGGCCCATCTTCTGTCAGCCTAAACCCTCCCATACCAAGGGAGAAGCAGCAGGGTATAAGAAAGAACACAAATTTTGGAGTCATAGTCATGCAGAACTGGGCACATATCCTGGCTCTAACATTTCTAGCTGTGTAGACTAGGGCAAGTTGTTTACATACCAGGAACTTGGATTTCCTACTGAGAAAAATGAAGATAGCAATATCTAGCCTACATGCAGGATGTGATACACTAAATTTAAAAACTAAGGGGTGCCTTGGTGGCTCAGTTGGTTAAGCATCCAACTTCGGCTTAGGTCATGATCTCACAGTTCGTGGGTTCAAGCCCTGCATCGGGCTCTGTGCTGACAACTCAGAGCATGGAGCCTGCTTCAGATTGTGTCTCCCTCTCTCTTCTCCTCCCAGGCTCCCACTCTGTCTCTCTCAAATATAAACAAACATTAAAAAAAAAACCCAAAACCTAAAGCAGCTGGAGAGTAGCTGCAGGAGCTCTGAAGCTCTGAACTTCAGAGTTCAAAGATCTAGATTCTGCTACCTCTGGTCACACAGCCGTGGCAAGTCATTCAACTCTGAGCCTCAGTTTCCTCATAGACAGAATGGGGATAATACTGGCATCATTGGAACCATAACATTATTTGGATAGTGTTAGTATTATCCCAGTCCTTAACCTCTCAGAGAACCTTTGAGGATATCAGCCCTCACAGTCTGAGGATATCAGACTTCACATTAGGGGTTAGTATCCTACTTTGGTTTCCCAGGCAGAATTAACAAGTGTGGGGGAACTCGGTGGGGACACACAGTGGAGTGGATTCCTTGTAATTCCTTAATGTATTGAGCACTACATATTGGGTTCTGCAGACGAACAGGTAGCTCATGCTCTAGTGGGAGGAAAAGATGTGTATTCAGGCAACTGCCATATAATGCGAAGCGAGTTGCAATAGGGACAGTGTGCGAAAACACATAGGATGGCTCCTGTCCCCACCTCTGGTGGGTCAGCCAAGGCTTTCAGAGAAGGTGATAACCAACCAGAGTCTTGAAGAATCCTAACACTCTGGTGGGAAGTACCTGGAAAGCAGTCCCAGAGGGCAGAGTATGGTGAGAAATGGGGCAGAAGTTAGAGGACAGGATGTGGACCCAAAGCATAGGTGTGACTTCCTTTGAAGGTATGTGGGCCTCTTCCAGGCCCTCTTGTGGTCAGTCTCAGCCTGAAAATGGAGCTGGATGGCAGTTCTGGTTGACCCACAGCTCTTGGGATTAGATTGCCTTTAATCCTCATTTGCCTCCCTAAGAGGATCACAGGATCAGCTGTTAGGATAGCCCTAATCTAGTAGGGTTTGGCACCTGGACAGGGCACTGAGAGGCTGCTGGCTGGTCCTCAGCTGCCCCTTCCTATGTCCCTCCTCAGGCCCTACAGCTGAGGAAGAATACTATTTTGCCTAGGAAAACCCAGTGTGTGTTTTTCCACACTGGAACTACAAGCCCAGAGATACACTGCATGGAATCAGAGGTGAGGGTGGATGAACAAGAGACCCTAAGTCAGTTCAGGCTAAATTCCCACTGGATTCTCTGACCCACAAACTCTTCACCACCCTACATCTGACCTCATATGCCCATAGAGCTCTGCCCAACTGTGGACGAACCCAAATTTCCTTTCTTTGTCCCCCATGGTACAAGAATGGCATCTTCCAAGAGAAATTCGTCCAAGGATGAAGAGAGAACAAAACCGGACCACAAACCAAATCATACTTACAAAGCAGCGATTCCTGGTCCTGCTGCCTCAGTGATTGGAGGCTAGCAACTAAGAGAAGGGTCTTGGGAAGGCCATTGCTTTCCTGGATGAGGCTTTAGGGAAGCAGAGCCCTGGAGAAATGCGCCACATCCAAGAACCCATCACATGGGAGCCCAGGGCTATGCGGATCCTATCCCAGCACCAAGAGACAGATGTATAAGCCAAAATACCAATTCACTAACTTATAATAGGAAAAATAACCATCATAGGGACTGAGAAGGCTGTCAATCCTGGTCAGTCCCTTTTCTCTATACAGAAAATATAAACTGAAGCCGAATTATGATCAAAAGATTCCTATAAGCACAGAGTCAAGCAAGGAGAATCAGAGTTGTGTGACACTGGCAAAGCTGGGAAAGCCATATGCCTGCATCCACCACGAAGATATTCTAGCCATGGGTAGAAGACACACAATTTTCACAATTTCTGACTCCCATTTTCAATAATAATAATAATTATAACTAACAGTCATTAAACATAGGGTTCTATGCTAAGCACTTTGTAAGAATTATCTCAGGTCATCTTCAAGGTAGCTCCGGATAGAAGATAACCATAATCACCATTACATGTTCTCAATGGGGAAAATGAGGCTGCCCAAAGCGGATAACGAACTTGATCCTAAGGTCACACAATCAGTGGTTGAGCCAGAATCCGGATACAGGACTGTCTCACACCAGAACCAGAGCTATTAAACCACTATGCTAAACTGTCTCAAGAGGTCTACTCACCTTCAGTAATGACATTCCAACTTTGCCTGTATCAGTAGGACCTTTAGGTTGTAATTCACAATGTTTTTATCAGTTTGAACAGAGTTCTAGATGCCTCTCTATGCCCATCTGTGTTGTGCAGCAAGAGAAATAGAAGCTCTGGAGTCCAATGGCTCTCTTCACCACTTACTTGCTGCATGACAGTAGTAGGCACTGTCAGTGCTCTGACTAGATCCCTTTGGAGTGTTTCTAGGTCTTGGCCTGTGTTCTGACAGTTTGGGTTTCTGACACTTTAGGCTGAAACTACTCTCAGGGAAACTTTGCCTATGATCCCAATCCTCCTTGGCCTTTCCCCCTTCCCTCTTCCCTCACTCTCTTATCAATTTCTCCTTCAAGCACATTCGTAATAAATGACTGGGACATGAATCCTAAGATGAGTCTTAGATTTGCTTCTAGAGAACCCAACTTGAGACAATGACCTAGAGCAAAGGTCACTAAATCTAGCTTGCCACCTGTTTTTATAAAGTTTTACTGCTATACAGCTATTATGTATCATTTACTTATGTATTGTCTGTGGCAGTACTGAGCAGCTATGACAGAAACTAAATAGTCCACAAAGCCTATGGTATTTACTACTTGGCCATTTTCAGAAAAAGTTTATCAACCCCTAACCTAGAGTAAGTCTTCTAATAATTATCACTCACTTCTATGGGTCGTCATGAGGACTAAATAAGTGAAAAAGGGCCCAGCACATTCCCTAACACCTACCAGGTGCTCAACTCATGTTTGCCAAGGTGGAATGTTCCATAGGGTACTCCCAGGTTGTGGGTCCTGTTCTTAGATTTTGAGAATCTTGCCTAGAAAGTTTTCCTCTATGATTTTGAGACTCTTCTCCCCTCTACCAAGAAAAGGCAACCTCCCAGTCAAGCAGATATTAAGGCAGTGTTATTCTGCGAATCACCAGCATGAGAATCAGCTGTGGGCCTGCTGAAACTACAGAATCCCAAGACCCACCTTAGACCATCCCCGGAATTAGAATCTCAGGG